CTAGATTTATATTTAAAGATGTTTATCAGATAGTGTTATTCTGCTGATGAGACTAACATCTTGAAATAAATATTTATCTGAATGTCCATAGTCGAGTATTAACGAGAGTGGGATATCGTTAATGCATGTGAGACTAGTGTGTGTTGGATGTTTGACTTAGTCTCATAGTCAATGACAGTGTGTTCGCATCCGCACATGGGCAGATATTATCTAGAGATAATAGGATGCCGGACTGACCCATCATAAAGATGTTGCTTGAATTTTTAGTTCATGATCTAAATATCCTTAGCGCAACCACGGGTGTAACTATCCTTCGACTTGAAGTATTACGTTTTCTACATATGTGAACCCGCATACTTTGATGCATTGTCCTAAGCCATATGAAATAAGGATGGTATACATGCTTTGTTTTGGGTATGCCGCAGCGCATATTCAGAAACGTAGATTACGTACATAGGATTTGTCACTACTCTTTTTAAGAGATTAATGTCTTATGGGGCCCACTGATAAGTTATGATTGAGAAAATTGCATGGCCATGCTGAGATGTTTTTATGACGTCTGTTCCTATCAGTCAGACTTGATAAATCAGTGAATGACTTAATGGATACAAGTTGGATTTTTTTTAATCCCTTGCATTAAGTCTAGACATTGAGACAAAGGGATACAGTTACACAGAGTCTGAGTCGTGGAAAGGTTTTGACGGTGCAAACGTCTTAACTTATAATTTGGGAGCAATAATGTGTTGCTAGATACCGCTTATTGCTTATAGTATTGGTGCAGAGCCAATACTGTGGCCAGCTTTATAAGTGCCTATACGGGTCACACACTTTGGACAATTTAAGGAGTAGGATTAAACAATGGGATAATAATTAATTTGTATATTTGTAAAAATAGTAAAATAAAATATTTTGGAGTATAATAATATATATATAAATATTCAGTTATATATATTATATATATGTGCCGATTAATATATATATTATATGTTGAATATTTTATTTTGATTTGTCATTTTAATTATGAAAATAAATTTTTTGACATAAACTATTTAAAGTATATTTGTATACTTGTTTAAAAATGATATTGGTATTTTTATTTGATTTAAAATTAATTTTATATTAATTTTTGGTGTCAAATAAAATACACTTTGAACATTTAAGTGGAGAAGAATTTCAAATATCCTTCTCATATCATCACTTCGGCCATAGTGATATAAAGGATCAAAAATCAATCTTTGACATAGTTTATTAGTTTTTATCCTTTAGCTAAATGACAAAGTTTTATAAATCACTTTGTAATCTTTTGTTGATTACACGGCACATTGAATTTAAAGTGGGAATGTGAAGATTATCATTTAAAAGAGAGCATGCACTTGTGTATTTTGGGTGATAATTTTTCTAGTGAGAGAAAATTATTTTTATGTTCTATTAATATCATTTTGTGTATAGAAAATATCATTATTAGAAATATTTTCTATAGAAATATACAAGATTATTATTATCCCAAATTTTAATCTTTATATTTTATACTACTATAATCTTTACTAGCATAAAGATTGTGGTAGACTCCGGCGTTGTTCGTGTGTCAAAGTTGGAGACCGGACGCTTGAACAGTTACGTTTGCACTTTCAACGCTCTTCCTACGACTTCTTCGTTTTTACCGCTTACAGAGAAAGGTACAAATTTCTTACTACTATATGTTTTAGTACGTGATTCTGGGCAAGATAATCATGTTAGGATGTTAAAATTTTTGTATTCCGCTGCCTATCCTTGCATGGTTACCTTTCAGAAACTATGTGCTCTACGCCGTATGTAGGTCCATAGACCCGTCGTGTTGTTATGTACCCAGGAATGAAACTTCTAACGAGACCACCACTGGTAAAGACTGTTGAAGCAACAGCTCCTTGTAGGCCAACGTTGCCTCCTCCATAAGCAAGACTAATTCTTCGCCTTATCAATTCTCTTCCTAAATCTACTGCAGTAGCCATAAACTTTGGATTTCTACCAAGAGAATGACTGCCAAGAAGACCAACAAATCTTATGGTGTAAGGAAGTGTTCGAGAAGTTCCTTCCATAATGTGAGAATGTGGGATACTCTTCCCATAATCGTGATATATATAGTCTCTAGAACCTGACCATTGATGGAAAAGTAATTATCACCAGCCAAAATACGTACAGTAAAATAGATTCAAATTACCTGCAGACGAGAACGTACTCGCTAATACTATAGTATGCTGAAGATATGACGTATTGAGACTCTTGAATAGTTTGATTCGCTGTGCTGAAACACGTTCAAATCCGAGACGAAAAGTCAAAACAGCTATTTCCTAAGACAACGACCTCTTGAGTAACTTCCAAAGAGTGAAACATTGAAGAAAGAAAACCTACTATTAGTAACGGTAATTTGCAAATGCTATCTTGATATCTTATGACTCATATCCTTGAATTACTCAAACTTGATGTGTTAACTACACCCTTGAAACATCCCGCTTGATCAATCTTGAAAAGATTGAATTTCATTCTTTGTATCAAAATAATAAAACCACGATTCTTCATTAAACAAAAAGATGTTTTATGATACCGATCTTTGAAAACTATACCTTGTGGAATACGTGACTCGATCACAATAGTAAAACTACCTTGACTTGAACATTATGCTGAACCTCTCTTTGTGGACCACAAAACAATCA